AGCGCTACCAAATGGCCTTGTGCATCACTTCATGACCAAACTGTTGAATTAAGATGGAAAAGAAAAACCTAGACGAGTTGGAAGACTTAGATTTTTATTTTTACAAAGAATATTAAATAAGGAGAATCTTAGTGTAAATTTAATGTTGACTTAAACATATCAAATTAAGAATCAAAGTTTTCTTTCTCCCATAATATTTGTTTACTTACAGTCCTTTTACTCGGTAATTTATTTGGCAAAGTACATCTTTTGCAGGACAATAAACAAATAAAATACGTTATGGCAGTGTGTCAGGGGCGGTGTCTTTTGGGAAAGCTGACTTTTCCAGTTTCTTGGTTTCCTTGTGTAGTCCAAGTTGTTCTAAGAGGTTTGGTTTTATATACAAAAGTCATAATTTGAGGTAGCATTAAATCATGCACTGAATAATTGTTTAGACTTTCCTGATTTTGCACGTGCTCTCTTGGTAGGGTGATATTTTTTTGCATGAAAGTGTATGATCTCAATTTTCTTAACTTTGAATGGAATAAGGATAGCATGTGGCTCATCAGGTCTTGAGTTCTATCTGACTATAGGTATACATATGTGATTACCAGTTCTAAGTAAAACACTGGCTAAAAAATGCACTGAGTACTTTAATCAGGATGAGTTTGAGCTCCAGCCTGATTCAGAGATGATGGTTTTTTGGCTCAGACTGCTTCATTAAATTGAGTGGCTTCAATTTTTTAAAATATTTTGCTTTACTTCTTTAGGGTAAGTGATGCAGTACCTGTTGCAATAGCTTAATTTATGTAAAAGGAGAGCTGTTTCTAAGCTGAAAGCATGGTGGATAAGCTGTCTGCTAAGCAATAGTAACATCTCATCAACCCGGACTGTGCTTTTAAAAGGGTTGGTCTTGTCTTCAGTCTTCTGGGCTTTGGCTAAGAGAAAGATAAATCAAAGTTTTCCTGATTCTCTGGTCTCTCAGTTTCCTCTTCCAGTGGCAACAAACTTAAATTGCCTTAACTAAGATCTATGTGTAGTTTTCCGTATGAACTATATCTGTACAGTTATCTCTTTGAAAAGGTTGATGATAGCATTTTTCAAAATTTATAACCAGTTCTTAAATTTGCTTGTCATTATCTGTGAAAGCCCTTCTTAGAAAAGATGATTAACATTTACTGCATTAAATAACCTGTTGAACACAGTAGATGCATGTCCTCCGACAAACTACTCCAGAAGATGTAACTTGCTACAGCAAGATCTCCATAGCGAGCATTCCCATAGACTCCTCTAAGAGTCCTTCAGCTGATGTCTGCAAGACTGGTAATTGGTACTCAGACCCCAAATCCATCTTCCCACTGGAACCAGCTGAACGCTTTCAGTACCAGTTTCTCCTTCGTTTTAAACGCAAAACGAGCTTGCAAGATACTTTTTCTGAGCGCTTCAGTTTGTTGCACGTAAGGCTGAAAAACTTCAACCTGCAAATAGACCTAGTCAGTCTAGTGGAACTATTTTTCTCTTTCTATGAAGCATTCAACACAACCTGAAGGGATCTGCAAGGGGGGAGACAAAATGCCTGCTCTGAATGCCTCACAGCCTTGAAGGCAAGGAGATAAGATACTGTGAATGCAAGCGGTTGTGTAAGAGGTGTTCAACACTAGTCTGATTAGTCCCTTATTTCCCTTTCTCTCCCCAGAGTCAGTCTATGGACGCTAAACTGTAGAGCCGGACTACTGAGTGGTTGGATTAACAGCTCTCTTCCAGTTTATGTGCAGCAGGATGGGTCCCACTATTCGTGAGGAATCACTGGTGTGCAGAGTCTGGTCCCTTCCCCTCCTGTGGGCAGCTGCTGACACACAACTGATTTTGGGGGCAGTCGAGGCACCTCTGAGTCTATTCCAAGCTTTCTTATTGTCCTCAGAAACACAGCTCAGTCAGGGCTTTCAGAGTAAGGTGGCAAATGATCTCAGTGACCAGCTCCTTACTATAGTCTGAAAGGGCATGTAATGCATACATGCTTGACAAATACGTTCAGAGTCATGTGGAAAAGAGGCAGCTTCATAATGGAAGGTCAAGGCAGTGGACCATCGTCTTAACCCCACATAAATCTAGCTCCAGGTCACCCTCAGCAAATGTGATGGGAGGTGAATTGCCAGTACCCTTTCATAAGCGCAAATCCTTAATTAAGGAAGAGTACAAGGAGACACGTAAAATGCCAGCCTCAGCAAGTAGCAGCCTCCACTTCTTATGAGAATAAATTAGAACTTGTCAGAATAAAATTGTTTGTTTTTTTTTTTTTTTTCATTAATGTGGTTGGTAGTATTCAAAAACGTAAAATCAGATAAAACACATTGTTCTACGGTGGAAGAAGATCTTACTCCTTAAAACTGTGTGTGAGGTGCAAAGACTTTGAAGACTGTGTCAGGCTTACTGGGCAGTACCACTTTGCTTCGTTCTGCCTTGATTTATAGTAATTTTAGGAGAAGGTAGAAGAGCTAATTTAATCTGGCCATCTCTTCATCCTCTTACTGTGAAGGTTTAATTTCCAGTTAGTGAAACCAGACCTCACTTTTTGGCTCTTGGGTGAATACATAGGGTTTTATTTGTATTTGGAGATTGCCTGTTGCTATGGCAGTTTATTGAGCAAAAGCTTGTGTGCAGTGTCGGGTGGATTTTAAATAGAGAAAAAGGGCTTAAAGAATATTTCTGTGCATCTGAACTGTTGCTGAATACCAACTTATCATGATGTGTATGTGAGTTTACTTTTAATTAGCAATAACCTAGAGTGAATAGAAACTAGTGTAGACATACACATTTTTAAACATTTTGCTGGAGAGGGCTCTTATGTTTGCTTCTTTTGTATTTTTTTTCTGCTTTTCCAGCTTATGACTAGTTATTGAAGGCCGAGGTACTGCTTTGTTGCCATCAAAGCACTCTTTTCTGCCTCGCTTCCAAAATAGGATTTCTTCACAAAGAAGCAAGATACTGTCTTGTGTAAGAACTAAATCGGACCTTGAAGGAGGAAAGATTTGCATTCTGATTCTCTGCTTCTGTACCATGCACATCATTTACACCTGTCTAGATAAATGTAAAAGAAAGACAACCACATTGCTGTTTGTACTGACTAAAACCAGCAAAATACCTAGTATCTCAGGAACAGTAGATGTGCCAGCAGAGCTTACCAAGAACAGGTCATAGAAAAATGAGTATAGATATCTTTATGAAGGTCTTTATTCCTTTAAATATGATATTACTTTTCATAAAGGCATTCGGAACAGAATTCAAACAAAGACTCTTTTCCCTTTAAAGCAGCAATTCTTAAATGAAAAAAAATGAACAGTATTCTTATTTCTGCTTTTTCTTTTTTTTTTTTTTTTTTGTCTGTAGCTAAAGTCTGTCGGTTTCTGCCTTTTTACTACATACAGATTATTTTAAGGTGGCTTGAGTTTTTTTTTATTAGTGTGCTAAGCACATTTTTTACGTTTACCTGTGTAACTGTCTTTGCATACAGTTCCATATAGAATAGTTAAAACATGAAATTGTGTAAGTGAAACAGTCTCCCCATAGCGGTAATTAATTTTAAAAGTAAACCCCAAATTGTCGGTTGATTCCTGTTAATTACACCTTTCCTGCAAAACACAGAATGCTGAAGAAAGCCTTGAGCGAGTGGTGTTCTTACTGCTTATATTTACAAATGTCTGAGTCTAGGTTCGTGAGGTCTTTAGCAGTTTCCTCCCACCATTACTTACTTTGATTTTTCGTAGTGAGATGTTCATGTTTGTAACCTTGGGTATACGATGATGATAATCTTCCTCTCTGCTGGTTCAAGACTTGAGAGGCATAAAGGCAAAACTCAGTTTTGCTGCTCCAGGTAAGGTGTGGGGCCAGGCTACTGCCAGTGCAGGAAGGAAAGTAGGAAGGAGTAGGGTTGGACACTAGAGAAGAGGATGAATTCTGGCAAGGATGGTGGGAGGCAGCCTTGCTCTTCCAGCTGCCCCTGGGAGGATGCTGGGCTAAAATAAAGCCCTCTGCTTCTTCAGAGCAGCGGCTTGCCCTCTGACTTTCCCCCAGTGCTAGTAGCTGCCCAGCAGCAGCAGGCTCTTGACGCAGCACAAAAGTCAAATGTGCTTTTCCAGCAGATATACAAATAGATACAAGGGAATGCCAAGCAGGGTCTCTCTGGCCCCCAACAATTTCTTGCCTGCTTCCTATGTGGCATGTCTGCAGTGGCCCTGATCCTTGTGGCTGCACTCAGAAAGCTTTGGCTCTTTGCTCTTCCTTTTCTTTGGCACATTATGAATTTTAACAGAAGGGTTTTTTTAAAAAATTCCAGTAAATCTTCCTGTGAGTTGCACCATAAAGCTTGTTGTTTCTGTGAAAAAAAAAAAAAAAAAAGTATTATTCTGTCACTTTGTATAGTAAAATATTTACAAAATAAAAAATGACTTGTAATCCAGGATAATACCATACTACTGTGTCAGGTTGTGAATGAAGTCATTTTGCTTTGTTAGTACTGACTAGCCTGGACAGTTGCTTTCATTAAACTGAAGATCACAGAGTTGGGGTTTTGTTCTCTCAATGCATATCTATCAGCAGTGATAGTCTTAGCATAAATCAGAACCAGTTTTCTGCTATTGTTTTTTATTAATTTTATTTAGAAGGAAGAAATCTGAAGTCCAAGCCATAGAGAAATACATGTAATACTCCTTCATTTCACATGTGGTTCACAGCCTAAGTAGGCCTAGATCATAACCAGCTGCTCAGTTTTTAGCTCTGAGTAATTTCCAATGTTGCTGTGACTACTTGCCCTGTATTCACATCTGTATTCCCTCTGCAAAAGTGTGCAGGTATCATTCAGCCCATTTACAACGTCGTGTTTTTTTTCTTGAGAGAAACAGCTTTATTAAGCACACCAGTGCTGTGAAACGTTCCATTGTTTCTTTAAAAACAAAAACTATTAAAGCTTTTTTTTTTGTTTTTTTCAGGAATGTTAATTACTAGTCATTTGCTTTTTTTGGTAGGAGTTCTCTGGAATCTATCCTCCTGCGATGCACTAAAAATGCCAATCATCCAGGATGCCCTCGCAGTGTTGACCAATGCAGTGATCATCCCTCACTCTGGATGGGAAAACTCTCCGCTCCAGGATGATCATAAAATACAACTCCATTCATCACAGGTGCTGCGCAATGCCACTGGGTGCCTAAGGTGAGTACAGCAAGACATTTGCTTTGCCTTAATCATCTTGCTTCGAATTGGTATTTTTCATTCTTAGGCATCTGTAAAGTAAATAATTGGTTTGTGTGTCAGCAAAGATGGTGACTTTCAGTGCTGGAAACTCGAAGTTGGAAATAAATTAGAAAACAAGCTTCAGGCCATTCAAAAAACAATCTCTAGAAGCGCTGCTGTGGGGTGTCTATTTTTCTTTTCTTAACAGCTTTGACCAATCTTCTCATCCAAGCTTGTATATTACAGATATTTTTCTCCTTATAGATCTGTCCCATTTCCCCAGTTGCTTAAGTGAAGTCAATATGTTCTCACTATTACACCCAATTTAATCAGCACAAAAAGTAATGAAGATGCTCACAAAAAGTAACATTTGCCTTACGGGTTCCAGATGCCATTGCTGGAGTTATGATAAATATATCAAGTAGATTTTTTCTGCTCTGTGAAGATGAGAAATGGATTTCAATAAGAGACCGACCAATTTAACGTTGTTCAACTGGAATACTCAAATAGATCCTTTATGTATGGTATCTATTTACGTTGATATTTGTATGCCAAACTTGTGTACGCAACACCAAAGTGCACTTATATAAATATGTGCAATATGATCTGTCCGTTCCTAAAAATTACTGTAGATGTGAGAATGAAAATAGGATGAGTAAGAAGAGTTTCAGTTCTGACAAAACCTTACAAAAGGACTGAGTCATTGCAATTTCTGAATTCCATTCCATATTTTGTTGAAATATTTTAACATATTAGACAGGTTCTTTTAAGCGTTGTGTTTTGTTGTTTTGTTTTTTTTTTTCCCTTGTATATTGGAGATTCTGTAATCTATCTCAGACATGAAAATCAGTTAGCTAATATTTTTACATACATCACAGGAAAATTGTTAGGTGAATAGTATGTCTTGGTAATACACTATATGTTGTATGCTACATCCAAAGCAGATGTCCATCAGAGCTAAATAAGAAAAAGCATTGATAGGAGGCAAAGTAAAATAGTATTTTTTACAAAGCAAGCACCTTTTGTCTTTGTGCTGTTTGATCAAATGAAATGTCTCCCTTTCAGAAATAATATTTGAAAAGTTTAATGGAAAATGTTAAAAATATTATTGACTGCTTATATGTAATCAGAAGAGAATGAAAGATAGAAGGTAATAACTTCGTATGGTAAATATACTTGTATTGAGCTGAAATGCAAGCATGTGTGTGTGGCTACCAGCTGTGTTGGGATGTGTGACCGAAGCTAGGCATTTGTACCTGACTTGTATTGATTTTGAAAAGAGTCTGCTAGTATAGTTGTGTTGCATTTTGTTCAAATCGTTAGAAACACGATGCTCAGATCACTGTGCCAGAAGTCATTCCCTGAGGACCTGTACCACGTTGTATGTCTCACACTTCCAGAGTTTAACTTGTCTCAGTTAAAGAGCTGCCTCTAAAAGAAGTGTCCGTTATAAATTCGGGGCTTCACGGTGCCTCTGCTCTGCATGGGCACGTCCAGTGTTGGTCTCCCCATACCATAAGCTCTATCTTCCTGTTAATTTTTCCCAACTGTTTCTCAGGGACTGATGTCCAGCCCCGATCCTGCAAACCTCAGTTCTTCCTACCTCCTAACTGATGGATTCGTTGCACATTGGTCTTGAAATCTTTCTTTTTTTTTTTTTTTTTTCTGTCTTTATGAGTGTATGTGCACGCCCATTTGCAAACTGATGTGAGCTTACTGTAGCCTGCACTCTGGCCAGCCCGAGGACTTGGGGCCACATGAGAATGGTACGTTGCCTGATCTAATACACACTGCTTTGCACCAAGGCTTACAACCAAGTGCTTGGTGGTACGCTGTCATAGCAGAGTGGCTTCTGGTCAGCTCGTGCGAAATAAGCTCATATCTGCCTGCAAAAGACTGTGCATATTATAACTCTTGAATCCTTCCCAGGTAGCTGTAACAGCAGCTCAAAGGGCTGTCCTGAGCAGGTTGGTCTCACCTTCTAAACCCAGGCCCTTCCACCATAGTATGGCTTTTTACTATCTTTCTGGTATCAAACCCTCCCCTGTTTCCCAGATGCATCTTTCTGTCCTCTAACAGCTTCAGATATTTATTTGGCCTTCATCCATCTTCTTTAGATGATTTCATCCCACTTAGTCTGTATGGATGCTCTTTGGCAGAGCCAGAACATTGGGAGAGGGTTGAGCTTTTACTTCACCCCAGCAGGAACTTTCTTGTTTACCTTTCCCCAGTCACTGTTGAAATTCTCTCTCTCTCTGAAGAAAATGTCAAGTTTGAGTTTGTAGAAGAGAGAAAAGCGTACGTTGACCTCTGAGATGGTGACGGGATTGTTGTGCTGAATTCATAGAAGATAATGGGGCTGTAAGCTGAAGGAAACGGCAAAAGTGAGAAAGGAAAGATCAGAAAGCTCCGTGGGGGTGATTGGAGTAGCACGTGCTCTGTGCAGGTAGTACCTTAGCTAACATTCCTTAAATACCCGCCACCCCCAATAAATTGAACAGCTCTCACACTTCCCACTCGTGGCTGGTTACAAACCTCGTATTTCCCTTTCAAGATCTCACCGGGCGAGGGAAGTAATGTAAATCCAGAAGAGGTGATGTGGCTGCAGGCTGAGATCGTGCCGTGTTTAGGTGGGAAATGGAAAGTCCACTGTCATCTTCCGTGAGAGAATTTCTCCTAAGACTCTGGGTTGGTTGTCCTCTGCTGTTTTCTTTTTTCTCCTTTTGCTAGAGCTGGTTTTTGAAGGGACACTGGTTAAAATTCAGTTGCATCTGGATTATCAGTGATGATGCTTGGAATCATAGGAAAAGTAGTGGTGTTCAGAATACTTGACAAATGTTTCTGAAGCTGTAATGTTGACAGATTTTAGAGACATCAGGTTGTATTACATAAGGCTTAATGCTAGCAAATATGCCAGGAGGATTTGGGTTGTTTTGGGTTTGGTTTTTTTTTTTTTTTTTCAGTCTTCTGTGCCTTCAGTTTTCTGATTCATTCACTGCTGAAAACTTTAAATAAGGTCTGAGAGGTGCTGTAATGTAATCCATCCCATATACAGTGCTAATAAGGAGTTTGCAATGGCCATTATATAGAAATACCCAGATCTTTGTTTTGTGTTTTTTCACTACAGTATATGAATTATTATTTTTTTCTGCTGATCTTCCCTTTTCACAGTTTCTTGATGAGTTCTTATGCTTTTTCCATTAAAAAGTTGCTTATTAACTACAATTTTTAGTACTCTCATCTGCTTATTCATTATCATTCTTAACCAACTTCTTAAGTCTGCAACTCCAGTCACAGTAATTCAGTTGAAATCAGCATGAAATCATATGAAAGCCAGCAGCAACATTAGACCTTCTTTTCCTGTTATTTTCTTTTTTCCTTAAAGACATTATTTACAAACTGCGCTTAGCATACTTCTGTAATTTGAAAAAAAAAAAAAAATAGCTTTAATACAATATTGTACTAATTGATTTTACATAACTTGAATACTTTGAAATGGTTTAGCTAATTCAAAGCTCTAAATACAGCATTATACCTATCACTTATAAATTTAACCTTAATATTAATCTTTCATAAATTTCTAGACCTCAGTGTGGCGTGTGTTAGAGTTACCACCCAATTTACTTGCCTCCCCACTGAGATTCTAATACCTTACCTCATTACCTGTGAAAGTTTGACTTCTTTTTTTCCTTTTGGATTTCAGCTGTGACTGCTTTATTTGTGTTGGGGAAATACTGTATCTTTGGTTTATAGTTGCTGATTCATTCCGACTTACTGGGGAAAGTCAGGTGAAAACTGAATTTGGAATCCCAGTTGTTTATGGGGGGGGGTTACAATCCCTAATCTGATATTTAAAAATCAACGGGAGACACGTTGCATAATGTTGTTTTAACCTGAAGCATCAAGCTCACTTACCACAAAACTCGATCTCTGTCCAAAGACTATCTGAAAAAATCCCAGACAAAAACCTTTTCAAGAGTTTTTGTCCTGATGTGCAGTCTGGAACCCTGTTTTTTTCAACGAATTTAAGATGAATTCAAGTTAAGAGAATCTCGTCTGAGGACTTCTAAAAAACTTTAAGAATTTACTGTTTTAAGATTCTGATCTGGTTTTAGATGTGAAATCATCAAATGCTGTCTTTTTCTTTCTTCCATGTTCTGTTTAATTTTTCATCATACACTGAAGGTGTATGGACAGTTGTGAAAATCAGACTATTAAAATATTTATTTCCCCCCCTATTAGTTGATTAGAAAATTTATGGGAGAGTAATTCAAGTAGCTTGTGTTTATAGAGCTCCATGCCTTTCAAATTTTCACACTTCATACTTTCATGCTTGTCAAGCCTTTCACAAAATACCATTAATTATTTTTCAACTGAAAAAAAAAAAGTATGTAGCAAGCTCTCGGAGTAGAAAAGCAAAAGGGAAGAGTGCTTTTAAAACATTAATTGAGTGTAACTGACCCAGTAGTGTTTTCTGGATAGATCAACTTTTGGAAGGAACAGATTACCTTGTGAAAACAATTTGTGTTAACTATGAAGCCTGAATATCAAAAGTTTTTAACTGTTTTGTGGATGAATTATCTGTTTCGCAGACATTTACGGGTAATTCATTTATTCCACTGTCTCATTCCTCCTGCAGTTCGCTCATAAACATCCAAAGTCTATTGATTCGTATACTTAGGAGCTTCTATAATCTGTTTTGAAAATAATGTTTTGCTGCATCCTGACAAAATAAGATGTGGGAGCAGCATAATTCTGTATTATTCATCCTCTGTTTAGTTCCTAAAGAAACATCTGTATATATGAAGAAACATTCTTATATATATGTGTGAAACGTGTTTCTCAAGAAACTAAACTGATACAGGTGTGTATGTGCATGTGTATACGTGTGTTTATGTGTAAATACACACAGGTATAAAAGGGCTGATCAGTGAAGCTAAAACATGTTTCTGTCTTCACTGACTGGTGCAAGCTCTAAC